AATAACTCAAACTACACCAAGAGAAATGGGTTCAATATTGATGTGCAAATCTGCACAATACATAACAAAGTTAACAGAAGTTATTCTTGTACCTTCCCCCAGCAACATACCCTTCACAAAAACCATTGTTGAGGGCCAGGGGCTACAGCAAGAAAGGGGAATCAGTTCAGCACTTCCTGCCCATGCAACTGAAACTCAAGACTAGTAGAGAAAGTTCTGCTTATACAAAAAAGGGAGATAATGTTGGGCAATTCTGTCTTCTTGTTCCAGCCCCCATGTTTATGAGCTGGCTGTGGGGATTCTGCTAGGTATAACAAAGGGCGGAACCATGGCTCAGTGGCAGAGCATCTCCTTTGAATGTAGAAGGTCCCAGGTTCAGTCCCCAGAATTCAATTTTAAAAGGCTATGGCAGCAGGCATCATGAAAGATCTCAACCCAAGACCCTGGAGAGCTGCTGGTAGAGCAGACAATACTGACAGAACTATTTTTTTTAATTTTTAAAAAAAGATTAATTCAAGACTGAATTCTGTACTCAATAAACAGTCTTCCCATGTGCTTGTACAGCACATACACCAACATAAGTCATATCAATGCAAAATAGGAATTACTCTACTAATTTCATCAAAACATGGGCAAGAGTTGCCACTGGATCTTTTCAAAAGACATCTTCATTAGAAGTGTGTGTTCAGGTGATGCTTTCACAACCAGAATCTGTTCCGCACTCTCTCAAAACATCTCAAGTCTAACTTAGAAAGAATAAAACAAAGTTTGAGTACAGTGGCACCTTTAAAACGAACAAAGTTTAGTTCTGGATATAATATTTCGTGTGCATACACACGAAAGCTTATACCCAGAATTTAACTTTGTTGGTCTTAAAGGGGCCACTGAACTCAAACTTTGTTCTATTGCTTCAGACCAACACGGCTACCCACCTGAATCTATTCTGCAAACAATAAAACCAAGAAGTAGTTTGTCAAACAATGAAGAAGTTTCCCACTCCGATAGAATGCTGGAGCCATCCTTTCCTCTAGCTGTGCATGAAATATCACCTGCAACAAGTCCTATGTGAATAGACTGGGAAATAGCAAAACACAGGTTGCATTACTTCCACATTCTACATTTTCAGCACTATTCCATCAAGTAACTTTTTTTCCTTTACAGAGAAGCTGCACTAATAATAAGTGTAATAAATGCTTTAAATGGCAACTGTTCAACTTTCTCCATTCAGCTCTGGGATGAAAACCTTTTCTGCAATGAGGCACTGTCTAAATACAACTGGTTTCAAAGATGGATCTCAGGGATGAAAAAACAAACAAACATAAAATGCTGATTTACACATCAATCACCATTTAAGAACTAATCTAACACAATTTTTTTACTGGCACTATGGGGGGGGGGGGATGAGAGAGCTCCAAGCAGAAGATGGGACCTAGCATTTCAGTCACTTTCTTACCAGCACACCATACTGGCACATACCAGTTCACTTTCAACCCTGTTTGAAAATTTACCTATGTATCTCGAAGTGTTTACATGTGACATATTTTATTGAACTAGCACTTTTGATTTAAATGCCAGGAGAATTTGGAATAAAAACCTCACCAAAACAGGAGAAGAAGAAACAAGAAGAATAAGCTCAGGGGAGAACCACGCCCCCAACACATTATGCTAGGCAGGGAATGGAAGATACAGTATGCTAATACAGTACAGTTAGCACATCACAGGGACACAGTGCAAGACAAAATAGGTTTATCTAAACAAGACTGAACACTAAACGGAATTGGAAACTTACATGGAAATGTTTCAGGTCAAAGCCATTAGAAAGGTTTATTGGCTACTTTTTAGAAAAACAGGAAAGGGCAAGTAATAAGCCCGCAGTACTCAATGTAAGAGTGTGCCAAAGCCTGGAAATGAGGCAGAGGGAGTTTACCATGGTTTGTTAACAGAAACAGAACAGCATCAAAGTATGTGAATGCTTGAGAAAGGCTGCTACTAGGTAGGAACTAAAAAGTTTTATTAACTATAGCTGGCATTCTTATTAACTCAAAATCAACACATACCACACTACATGTAAAACACCCAGTGATGATTTTCACATAGTATCTAAGTCATTTGACTTATCATAAAGGTAAAGGTTCCCTTGCTCGAAAGCCAGTCGAGTCCGACTCTAGGGTTGTGGTGCTCATCTCCATTTCAAAGCCAAAGAGCCAGCGCTGTCTGAAGACGTTTCCGTGGTCATGTGGCCGGCATGACTAAACACCAAGGCGCACGGAACGCTGTTACCTTCCCACCAAAGTGGTACCTATTTATCTACTTGGAATTTCTTGCTTTCGAACTGCTAGGTTGGCAGGAGCTGGAACTAGAGACGGGAGCTCACTCCGTCATGCGGCACACTCTGGTCCCGAACTGCTGAACTACCGACCTTCCACAGCCTGCAGTTCAGCGTCTTAACCACTTGAATCACTGCATATAATAAATGGTCATAAATTCCAGTTTATGAAAAGTGACCACCGCAACACACACTTGAAATTATGGATTTTAAACTGCAACTTCACAATCTTTCCTATCTTTGAAACATGTTATATAAATGTTCTCTTTCTGCCTGTGATTGGGATGGGAGGGTAGGGCTATGCAGCAGCAAACACAAAACAATGCCATAGCAATTTCAGTCACAACAGTATGATTTGAGTCCTTCAGTAGTTTTGATGGGTAGATAGCAAGATGAGCTTGTTGATTTCAGCAGACATTATACTGAATGAGCTACTTGGGAAGGGGGTGCTGACCAGTATTTGCCTGTTACTTCCTGCAGGACACTTGACCTAGCAGTACTTCAGGTCTCTGCTATTAGTTTGCTTATTCACCCATGTCAGCATTACCATACTGGTTTAGGGCCTAAGCCCTATTTTAAGAACAGACATATTCTTCCAGACTATTATTCCAAGTATGATCCAGGCATGACCTAAATGCCTCCTGTACATACTACAGCTACTAAATCAGGCAGACACACTAGAAAGCCAGTTTAGCATGGGTCTAGACTTCTTTCCCTTAAAAAAAACATAAACGTTATTGATTTCTTGTTAGCAGACATACCATACAATACTTAAAAGCTGTCACAGAACAGAGTCAACAACATTTTCTTACAAGATTTGTATTCCTCTGTGACATTGTCTCCCAGTTTTATCCAAACACCCTGTGAATTAGGCTGGATAACTGGCCCAGGATACAGTAACTGGTCAGTAACAGTAGGCTTCCTAGATAGCTGTAGAGCTGAACTCGGGCTTGTACAAAACTATCTCCATTACCTCACACTAGCTCTCCATAAAAACAGTTTATTTCGGAGTTTCAGGCAAATTTCAACTAAAGACCTCACAACTCAAGTCAAGATCATTCTTGGTGGCCTCAAGTCATCCACTGTGCTCCAGCCCCAATTTGGGGACACTAACATACTTTTAAAAGGCCGTTTAAACAAAACAGAGTCCATGAAGGACTTTACATCCTTACGCTGGGCTACATAAATGTAGATCACCACCATCAGGAAATACTTTAACAAAGGTAAAGGTAAAGGTTCCCTTGCTCAAAAGCCAGTCAAATCCGACTCTAGGGTTGCGGTGCTCATCTCCGTTTCTAAGCCGAAGAGCCAGCACTGTCCGAAGACGTTTCCGTGGTCATGTGGCCGGCATGACTAAACACCAAGGCGCATGGAACGCTGTTACCTTCCCACCAAAGTGGTACCTATTTATCTACTTGGAATTTCTTGCTTTCGAACTGCTAGGTTGGCAGGAGCTGGAACTAGAGATGGGAGCTCACTCCATCATGCGGCACCCGGGTCTCGAACTGCTGAACTACTGACCTTCCACAGCCTGCAGTTCAGCGTCTTAACCACCTGAGCCACCGCAACTCCAACTTTAACAAAAAGGTGCCTCAAAACATCTTTTGTATGAATGTGATTAACACCTCTTTTATGCCACTAAGAAGAGAAATAATCCATTAGAAAGAGGGTGTTTTTTTTTTTTTTTTAGCAATTTACCTTACAGTAAGCTTTCAGTAAAAACTGACTTTCACCAGTCCTATAGTGCTTAGCTCATCTATAAGCTTTTATCGTGAGAATGCTAATTCCAGGTCAGGTTTCCTCTTAAAATACACGAGTCTCCACATTAATAAACCAAACAAAAAAAAATAAGAGAAAGTTATAGAATTGAAAATAAAACTTACATCTGTAGCAGATTTAGAAATTAGACAAGGGACAAATAGCTATTATTTAACAATATTTTAACAGAAACCCAAAGGCCATATTCAAATTATATGAAACATTAAAAAAGGGAAAGAACCAAAGATACACAAATACAATTGTGAAATCAGTAAGTTTTGCATTCCTCTCCACAGGAATCTTTACTTTTTCCTACTCTCTTTTTGTAACAGCTAACATGAGCAGTGGATGGAGGAAGGAGAAAAACAGAACGAGCTCAAAGACAGGGGGAAACACCTCTCGTTACTCGCCCGAATAAAAGCAAGAAACCGTATTTTAAACAAAACAACAAGCATGGAAAAGGATGTCGTTGAAGCCCAGGCCCACCTGGAGACCCACCTCTCTCTCCTCCCCCTTATAGAAGCAGCTCCTGAACTCCACCCAGAGGGTGAAGGCGGCGGCCGAGGCATTTTCACGTTAGAGAAGCAGGAAAATAAACCCCCCGTCCGCCCCCGTCACTCACCGCAGTGCCAATAAAGCCGAGGAAAGAAGGAAAAGCTCGACTCCCACCCGGCTCCCCCGTTCCAGAACAGCGGAAAACTTCCTATTCTTTCTCACCGCCTCACCAGGAAGGGCAGCGAAGATTCCCGCTCCCCTCAGCGGCCACTGGCAGGCGGGTGGGGCAGGCCGCACAGGGAGCGGCCACGCAGGGCCAGATTCAACTCCCCTTCCCTTCTCCCGTCCCCCCCTCCCCTCAATTACACGCGGGGTAGAGAAAGGGCTCCGAAGGAGCTCCGCCGCGCCTCCTAGCCACTACCTGAAAGGGACTCTTTGCGCGTCTCCCTGGCGCTGCTTCCTTATTCTTCTACAGGCCCAAACTCCAGCAGCGGCTAAGAACGGAAACCGCTGAGGCGGAGCGGGAGGGGAAGCGCGTTCACGCTCTCATACAAAACGCGACGTGCGCGTTCACGCCCCTCGCGTCTCAGCAGCCAATCCGCGCGCGGGGTGCGGAGGCTGCCGGGAAAGGGCGCTATAAAAGCCTGCAATCTATTTACGAACAGGCTGCAACTTTTCCCGGCAGTGTGGCGGTTGGGTGGGGAGGTAGAGCGAGAGATGCGTGCGGACAGTCGTACGTATTCGTGTGTGTGTTCTGGGGAGAGAAGGCGCGGTGAGACAGGGTTTTGCAAGGGGGTTTTTGCCTCTCCCTTGCGCTGAATGAGGGAAGATGTTACTCGGGAAGTGGTCCAGAAAAGACGGTATTAGGCGGAATGGGCTGGTACACGGAGACACTTGTCACGGGATGCCTAGAGGAAAGAATCCGCCCACTCCTGTGGTCTTTTCTTGTCGCGTGAGGTGTGTATGTCAAAAGAACCAACAGCTGCAGTGGGAGGAGAAGGAAGACTGACGGTAACCTCTAGCATACTTAAAGGCGGAGAGTCGTACTCGTTTCCTTCGCTGCCGTATTTAGTCGAAACGGTTGTGGAAACACTATAAAACGTTTGACCAGCGATGATTATGTGATTACCTCAAACAGTGATGGTTTTGGCTTTATCCTATTGGCTGAGAGTATCCGGAAAGGAAGCTTAGCTTGCCTTCTGACAAGAAAAACAATCTAGTCTCTTTGTTAGGACTGTCAGCATTGCTTTATTGTACCCAGTTAAATATGTAGGAGCTCAATTCTCTACTTAAAAGTCCATTTTATGAACTTCCGGAACTACCCTAAAGCGGTATAATCTTCTCCCCACCTTTCAATGTAAAATTCCATTTATCTAATGGATAAATACAGGTTGCAGAATTAGTATTTATTAGTATTTAAAGCTCATAGGATAGTTGGACAGCTACAGCTTGAACAAGGTCTGTTAAGAGCCAGTTTGGTGTAGTGGTTAGGAGCGTGGTCTTTAATCTGGGAGAACCAAGTTTGATTCCACACTCCTTCACATACAGTTGCTGGTGTGACCTTGGGTCAGTCATAAGTTCTTTCAGAGCTGTTCTCTCAAGGACAGTTCTTGAGAGAGCTCTCTGTCCCACCAACCTCACAGGGTGTCTGTTATTGGGAGGGAAAGGGATTGTAAGCCACTCAGACTCCTTCAGCTAGTGAAGGGTGGGGTATAAATCCAACCTCCTCCTCCTCCCCCCTCCTCCACTTCTTCCTCTTCCTCCTTGGAATTAAATGCTGTCACTGCAGCAGGATATTGCCTGTCATCAGTATTTAAAAACAGTAATATCTTTGGAAGTTATCAGGGCCTTTTTCAAACATTCCTAAGATGGATGTTCTATCGCAAATTTGTCTGGAAGTAGACCCCTAAGTAAAAAAGCTGATTAACTTGTTAACATGCTTATTCTCCAGATGTAATTTTGAGATTGTGTCCTAGAAAAGACCATTACTTTAGATTTATCATAGTTGACCTTAAGAACATGAGAGAAGCCAATGTTGGATCAGGGCAATGGCTCATCCAGTCCAACACTCTGTCACACAGTGGCCAAAAGTACCAGGTACCATCAGGAGGTCCAGCAGTGGGGCCAGGACACTAGAAGCCCTCCCACTGTTGCTCCCTCCAAAATCAAGAATACAGAGCATCACTTGCCCCAGACCGAGAGTTCCTATCTATACCTTGTGGGTAATAGCCACAGATGGAACTTTGCTCCATATGTTTATCCAATTTCCTCTTGAAGACACCCATGCTTGTAGCTGCCACCACCTCCTTTGACAGTGAATTCCATGTGTTAATCACTCTTTGGGTGAAGAAGTACTTCCTTTTATCCATTCTAACTTGACTGCTCAGCAATTTTATTGAGTGCCCACGAGTTCTTGTATTGTGAGAAAGGGAGAAAAGTACTTCTTTCTCTACCTGCTCTATCCCATGCATAATCTTGTAAACCTCTATCATGTCACCCCTCAGTTGTTTCTCCAAGCTAAAGAGCCCCAAGCGCCTTAACCTTTCTTCACAGGGAGAGTGTTTCAACACTTTTATCATTCTAGTTGCCCTTTTCTGCACTTTTCCAATGTTATAATATCCTTTCTGAGGTGTGGTGACTAGAATTGCCTTCTTGTCCATAGCATTCAACAAAGGCCTTTATCAATCAGTGCAAACCTAACAGCATCCTGGCACACAATACTGCATCATCAGCGCAAAGTAATATTGGTATTGCCTATTCAGGCAGGATCAGAGCATGGGAATTTACCTTATTTATAGAGACCATAATATCACTTATATAAAAGTTAGATAACTTAGACTTGATAGAGGGGTTCTCCTTCACAACTACATTGCACTTGTGCTGTGGTGATTTCATATAGTTGGTGATGCAACCAGAGCAGCCTAGGGTCCATATCTAATCAACACCACAGGCGACTACAGGAACTGAGTCAAAAGCTGCCTGCAAATCCATAAAAGCATTGTACGGCCCCAGTCACACGGGAGGCTTTGATCCGCGAGAGGGACGGATCGGGGGCGCATCAAGCAGGCGCGATCACATCGCAACATCTGGGAAGCGGCATGCACCCATCCCCGATCTGTCTCTTCCAGCCGAAGATGCGGATCAAAACAAAACCTACAAAACACTACTACTTACCTGAAAATCCGCAGCAGGGGCGGCAGTGTGATTGCTGGCGCGCCCGTCTTCGGCAGCATGCGAGGCCCCCAGCCAAAACTGCGCAAGTGCACACATGCACAGTGGGCTTGCTTTGCTCATCAATCTGTGGACAATTACTGCCGTTTTCCAGGTCTCAGGAGTTTTGCCCATCTGATGGGGATGTCTGACCCCCCCGCCGCTTCTCTTTTGATACGGCTCAAAAAAGCCGCACTTCAGCCGCACCTTTCCCCCCAGTGTGACCAGGGCCTACAAGTGATCTTCAGGAACAGATATATATTTCTTTGCTAAATAATAAAGAACTACACAATAGTCTGTTGTAGACCTTTCATTCATAAACCCACCTTGCTCTCGTTCAGTTATTGTATTTCCATAAACCCATTCTTTAAGTCTCTGCAAAAGCCAGGATGCATATAATTTCTCCAACATAGATAAAAGGCTAATAAGTTCATAATTTGATAGAACCATTCTATTCTCTTTCTTATATATGGGGACAATTACTGCCGTTTTCCAGGTCTCAGGAATTTTGCCCATCTGATTTATAACAGAAAATGCTGACACAAGTGTCACAAGCTGACAGAAAAGTTCAGAGGGGATGATATCTCATCCCAGTGCTTTGCCTGATTTCATTTTTCTAATTAAACTCTCAACTACTTCACTTTAAACTGATGGCCAGGGAGCAAAATTATCACAAGTAGTCAAAGGCACCTCATTTGGAACTGATGGGGCAAAAAAACCTAGTAAAATACTGTTCCAAACTTGAGCAGAGATACAGAAAGGTAATACTTTCCTGGAACTAAGTGCTGATGACGCCAACTGCCAAAATTCCTTTGGATTATTACTTTCAGTGGCCATAATAAGCGAACTCCAAGCTTTCCTTACTGGTTCACACTTTTTATTTCAAACTACAGACTTACATCTGGATTTAAGTTGAAATAGAACTATAAGAAATCTTGGATCACGATCCTTTCTATAATCTTTAACAATTTTTGCTGTATCTTTTAAAATGTACTACATTTTTTTATTGAACCAATACTTTTTGTGATATTTAATTTTATAGGACTGTGCCACAAAGGCAGGTTTCAATGACTTCAAAAGCTGAACTAATAACTCTGGGAGACAATCAGAACCTTTCATGTTTCAGTATGAAGAAAGAAGGTCCCTAACCTCAAAAGTGTTCGGAATACTAGATACTCTTTCTTCCACTACTGTGGACCAATGGGGTATATAGTGCTTTTGGTATTCAAAGAGCTTCACATGTTTTCCTTCTGTTGTAGGCCAATGTTGTTATCCCCCAAAGCTGCGGTGTGACGACCCCTTATCTGGGGAGGTCTGGTTTCCCTTTAAAAGTGTTCATTATTTTGTTCTACTAGGGTATATCCGGCTGCCACCAGGAAATGTAAGGCTTTCCAAACCATTATACTTTTACTTTTGTTATCACTGGGTAGGTAGGTCGAGTGTAAGGCTTATGGGGAACTATGTAGTACTGAGGAAGTTTTTATTTCAGAGTTGGCATACTTGAATAAAAGAAGATTTATTGAAATAATTCATAAATAAAAGGTAGAACAATGTAACCAGTAAGGTGAATCTTTTTAACAATTGCTTGGTGTCTCACACAAGATCTGCTCCCTTCCTGACAGGGATTTTTCAGGTAACTTTGCAACACTTTAACTCCAGGACATAGAAGTAGACTTTTTCACTCCAGTCTGTCACTCAGACTTTCTTATAACTCTGAACAACATCAACAGACAGCTTAACTGCTTTCACACCGAAATGCTTCTCACTTTTCTCATACACAGAACTTAAATCCCTGCTTCTCTCACAGACCTCAGAACTAACTAACTTCTCAACTGTCTTTATCAACTGTCAAACCTGTAACTGTCACTCTTGACAGACATACATATTCATCCACTCAGAACCACTTCCAAAACCCCTCCCCCTCCCTATCAATCACCAATCACACCACTCTTGTCTCTTCAACCACTGTAATATATCTCAGCCATGCAACCAAACTTTTAAAGACACACACACACATATAAAACAAGGAATCATTACATGCGGTCTTACAAGGAATCACTGGAGGGGGCAATAATGTGAAAATCTTCTAGCACTTAATATTTCCTTCTCAAGGATTTTCTGAACTCTCCAGGGCTTGAGCAGGCTGACCACCCCTGCCTGTATTTCCTCATTTAGCTGCTTTCACCATTCCCTCTGTTCTGGAGCATTTTATTAATTTACTTCAGCCCACCTTTCTTGCTGAGACTCAAGGTGGATTGCAAAATATAAAAATGCAATAGGACTATGATTACAAAATTTTAAAAAACAATGCAAAAAAGGATAAGATATGACA